AGCATGAGAGTATGAGTGAGAGTGAAAGAATAAGAATGAATAAGTGAATGAGAGTAAATTTGTGTGTGTGTGTGTGTGTGTGTGTGTGTGTGTGTGTGTGTGTGTGTGTGTGTGTGTGTGTGTGTGTGTGTGTGTGTGTGTGTGTGTGTGTGTGTGTGTGCGTGTGCATATGTGTCCATATGTGTCCATATGTGTCCATATGTGTTTGTGTGTGTGTGTGTGTGTGTGTGTGTGTGTGTGTGTGTGTGTGTGTGTGTGTGTGTGTGTGTGTGTGTGTGTGTGTGTGTGTGTGTGTGTGTGTGTGTGTGTGTGTGTGTGTGCACGCGCGTGTGCATATGTGTCCATATGTGTTTGTGTGTGTGTGAATGTGAGACAGAGAGAGTAAGAAAGCGAGAATGAGTGTTAGAGAGTGAGAGTGAAATAGTGAGTATACATGTATGTCTACATGTGCGTATAAACCGAGTGAGAGTGAAATGAGTGAATGAGTGAGTGAGGTGAAAGGGAATGAACAAGAGTTAGAATGTCAATGCACATGTATCTTTACATATAAACCTATAGGAATGTTTACATAGTAACTGTATGAACTATAAGGAACTGGCCACTGCAGAAGCAAAAGGCACTGAGCATTAGATGAAGCTGAAATTCATAACCAAATGCCTAGTTTACACATATATAATAGTATTCCCAACAGAATATGTCATAGATAGATTAAACTGACATCTCGTTAAGTCATAATTAACAGATTAATAAAATTAGCTTGACAGATCAGATCATTAACAGTAAATTAATCTCATAATTCTGATATATTTATACCAGAAAGTCAATATCTATACCAAAATAAATATTTTATATTCAAGAGAATACTTTGCAACTTCATAAAGCAATGTAAGTAAAAGCTGAACAGATGCAGGGTATTTTATCTTTCCTGAAAAATATAGATCAAAATAAGAAAGGTCTCTTTAGGAACAATCAAAAGTTGTACATAATTAATTTAAAAATTCAGGAAAAGTATACATCACTTGTTGGGTGTACCATCCATTCAGTACTACTGCACAATGCTGGTGTATTAATGGCAGCACAAACAAAAAGCCTAATATCAAATACTGCAAGGCCACCAGTATCGTTCAGTTACAACAAAGCAAGGTAACTGATGTCCAGTGTTTTTCGCGCATAAAAAAATAAACTCCTAGATATCACATGCAAATAATAACTAAATTGTGACTTACAAAATAAACATGTGTTTCCCCAGTTGTAGGGAAGGCAAGCCTTAAAAACATTTCTGGATCAAAATGTTACATTTTCATGCCTACTCTTCGATGAATCACTGAAGTAAATCCAGCCACTCTGCAAACAGCTCAACCATATAAAAAAAAATTGAGAATCATCCTGGAAGAGTAGGCACTGCTCTAGAGAAGCTGGCCACCCTGTGATGGGAAACATAAAGCATGCACAATATAACCTATTCTACCAATTAAAATTTTATTCTAAATGACATTCCTCTCTGGATACTTCTGCAATCTACATAAATGACTAGCATTAAATCATCAAGAGTGAAGCATGACTGAGTTTTTTTTAAATGTAACAAATTAGTAAAATAAATTACAAATAAAACCAAGAAGTTGAAAGTGAACCAAGTTCTTCCTCCATAAAAAGTAACTAAAGTATATGTATAAATTGAAAAGTAAGCATAGCTTTCTATATAGCATACCACCTTTCTTAGCAAACTGCCTAGTTATAAAAATTATTACTGCATACCATCTTTATAAAAATAACACATCGTCAGTACATTAGACAAAGTGTACTATAGCACAGCAGAAGTTCTGCCTATGTAAAATAGAGACCAGTGTACCCTATTGTCACCTTTATTGGAAAATAATGCATTAAGTTTACTTTCAACTCAACCATTTCTAACTGAATGGCTGAAAAGAAAACCAATGCAAACCTTGAAAGAATTTTCCATTGGCATCATACCATCTACCTATAATGTTTGTTCCCTTGGATCCACGAGGTTTAAGTTACTTTCCCAATTTAAATTCAACAAACACATGCCTCACAAAGAGATATACAACTGACATAAAACATTTAAACATCATATATCAATAAGACTGATCATGAATTTTTTTTTTTCAATGATAAAAAACTCTATGACTAAACCAGGTCAAAAAAGATCTTGAAAAATTAATTCTGGAAAACCAAAAAAAGATTGTCATGGACTGACATTTAACCTGGTAATGCCAGGAGTGTATGTATATATGCACTGTCCACTGAGGTTTTGTTTTATTTATTTAGTTTACAAAGATAGCTCCAGAAGTGCTTAGTTATCAAGGAGTTAATCACTTAGCATACCTAGAAAGATAGGTTTCATATTTATTACTTTTACTATTGTTAATAATATAAGAATAATCATTATAATAATAGCATAAATAATGGCAACAGCAGTAGCAATTTTTTTCTTTTTATCCCAAAAAATACAATGCCTGAGATAAACATAAGTTCTGGC